GATATCAGGTTATACTACAAAGCGACTGTAACCAAAACAGCCTGGTACTGGCACAAGAACAGGCATATAGACCAGTAGAACAGAACTGAAAACCCAGAAATGGACCCAAGGCAATACGCTCAATTAATATTTGACAAAGGTGGCAAGAGCATACAGTGGAGTGAAGACAGCCTCTTTAATAAATGGTGTTGGGAAAATTGGACATCTACATGCAAAAAAATGAAACTAGACCATCAACTTACACCATACACAAAAATAAACTCGAAATGGATAAAAGACTTAAATGTGACCCGTGAATCCATAAAAATTCTAGAAGAAAATGTAGGCAACAAAATTTCGGACATCATACGGAGCAGAATTTTCACTGATACATCACCTAAGGCAACAGAAATAAAGGAGAAAATGAACACATGGGACTACATCAAACTAAAAAGCTTCTGCACAGCAAAAGAAACAATCATCAAAATGGAAAGGCAACCCACTGTATGGGAGAACATCATTGCCAATGATGTATCAGATAAGGGGTTAATTTCCAATATATACAGAGTGCTCATACAACTCCACAAAAGGAAGACAAAGAACCCAATTAAAAAATGGGCAGCGGAGCTGAATAGACACCTCTCCAAACAGGACATACAAATGGCCAAGAGACATATGAAGAAATGCTCAACATCACTAATCATCAGAGAGATGCAAATTAAAACAACTATGAGGTATCACCTCACACCTGTCAGAATGGCCGCCATCAACAAATCATCAAACAACAAGTGTTGGCGAGGGTGTGGAGAAAAGGGGACTCTAATACACTGCTGGTGGGAATGCAGACTGGTGCAGCCGCTATGGAAAACAATATGGTGCTACCTCAAAAAATTAAAAATTGAACTTCCATTTGACCCAGTGATCCCACTGCTAGGAATATACCCTAAGAAGCCTGAAACACCAATCAGGAAGAATATATGTACCCCCATGTTCATAGCAGCACTATTTACAATAGCTAAGATCTGGAAACAGCCCAAGTGTCCACCAGTAGAAGAATGGATCAAAAAGCTGTGGTACATATACACAATGGAATACTATGCAGCGGTAAGAAAGAAAGATCTCTTATCCTTTGAGACGACATGGAGGGACCTGGAAAGTATTATCCTAAGTGAAAGAAGCCAAGCAGAAAAAGACAAATACCACATGATCTCACTTATATACGGAATATAATGAACATAACAGTCTGAGGAATACAGTAGACCCAGACACATGGAAGTAGGGCACAGACTGACATCCCTCAGAAGAGGGGATGGGGGGTGGGGGGGGTGGGAAGAGATAAACCACAGATCTTATATGCATGTATGCATGACCAATGGACATGGACAACTAAGCCGGGGACAGGGTGGAGGGGGGGTGGGGTGGGGGGTGCCAATGGGGTAAAAAGGTAAAATATCTGTAACAAAAAAATAAATAAATAAATAAAAAATTCAAAAAAAATAAAATAAAATAAAATAAAAAAAAAAAAGAAAATATAGTAAATATAGTCAATAATATTGTAATAACTATGTATAGTTCCAGGTAGGTACTAGAAATTCCGGGGGTTGGGGGGACACTTTGTAAAGTATATGATTGTCTAACCACTATGCTGTACACCTGAAACGAATACAAAGTAATATTGAATGTAAACTGTAATTGAAAAATAAAATTAAAAAAATAAACAATCTTTGCTCTGGAGCTCCAATCCTGCTTCAGTCCTTTTTCGTTCACAGGTGTTACCCTCCTTGCCATGCCCACCAATACATTCTGGCATTCCTAACTTTTCAGTGTCTGCTTCTGAGAGAATCTAACTAGAACAGATGTCCATCAAGCCCCTGAACTCAAGCTGTCTCCTGCTCCCAATCCTGGGATGTCTGACCTAACTAACCCAAACTATTTAACTATTTTCTCATATATAAAATTAAAGACTTATTCCTTTCATACCTACATTATATGATTATTATAAAGATAAAATGAACACGTACGGGAAAATGCTATCAATTTGAAAATCACTATGTAAACTATTACAGTTTGTTTTTTTATCCTCACCCGAGGACATTTTTCCAATTTTTATTCAGATAGAGTGGGAGGGGGAGAGAGGAAGAGAGAGAGAGAGAAACATCGATGTGAAAGGGACACATTGAGTGGCTGTCACCCGCATGACCAACCAGGGCTGGGACAAACTGCAACCAAGGTACACGCCCTTAGCAGGAACCGAACCCAGGTCTCTCTGGACCGCAGGCCGATGCTCTAACTGCTAAGCCAAACTGGCCAGGGCAACTATTACAGTTTTTATTGAAAAAACCTAGAGTTAAAGCATTTCCTAGATTACCTAACAATCCAGTTTAAAAAAATTCAAACATCATCATTTTCAAGTCCTTTCAAAGCGAGTATGGTGTATGTGGTTTTTCTGTAGCTTTACTTATTCCCAGGGAGTAATTTATACACTCAGAGATCTTGCTTGACAAAACAGACCTAAATAAAGAATGGTAGAGTACTACAGTAGCCCGCCATGGGAATTTTGGTTTGTTTCTTTTCATTTCTATTGTAACAATTACTAAGATAGAGGAAACAAGAACCATCAAAACAACCCTTTTGACAAAACACAGTAGCCAGATTATTGGAGAAAAATATTTAACACCTGTATGACCACCAACCCATTTTCTTTAGCACTACTGTGATAAGACATAATTTTATATCTGTAGATAAATACTGCAATACATGTAAGTAAAAAAAATATTCCCCATAAACATATTATTTTATTGTTCATTCTTATTCATACTTATCTATAATGTAGTACAAGAAGAAACCTAGTGATCATTTTATGACTTTTTATCAGAAAAACTTTTAGGAGTAACTTTTTAGCAGAAAAGATGAAAACATTTTCTATAATGTGTTATTGTTGGCTTAGATGGTGATAGATTTGCGATAAATTTTCTTTCTTACTACCTTTCGAAAGATGTATCTCTGATTTGCAATTGAGAGTTGGCACTTCAGTTACAAGCTTTGAAAATGTGTGGTTCCACATAAAGAACTGCAAAAAGGTTTAAAAACCAGTTCTGTTCCCTTTTTGTTCATCCTGCCCAAAGTGCCCCCCGCCTTTTTTTTTTTTGTCAAGGCAGATCTATAGGTCTAAAATGTCCTGCTGAGCCCTGGCCGGTTTGGCTCAGTGGTTAGAGCGTCGGCCTGCGGTCCCGAGAGACCCGGGTTCGGTTCCCGCTAAGGGCACGTACCTCGGTTGCAGTTTGTCCCTGGCCCTGGTTGGTCGTGCGGGTGGCAGCCACTCGATGTGTCCCTTTCACGTCGATATTTCTCTCTCTCTCTCTCTTCCTCTCTCTCCCTCCCTCTCTATCTGAACAAAAAATGTCCTCGGGTGAGGATAAAAAAATAAAATAAAATAAAATAAAATGTCCTGCTGAGTGACAGGGCTAAAACTTTGGCTGTTTAGTAAGATGTCAGGACAATGCTGAAGCAAAAGTAAGTGTAGCTGACAATGCATGATTAATTCAAATGGTTTTGCATATGTTTTTGAAATACGTATAAAAGTATAAGAACAAATTCTCATACTTTGCTGTGGATGCGGAATTGGACAAGAATAGGAAAAAGAATGCCAATAACATAAACTGGATTATAAGATCCATTAGGAAATTTTAATGTGTTTCATCATAGTTCAGTATGAACAGTAGAATTCTTCAGATTTACATTATTATTATTATTATTTTGCATGTGCATTCTGGGAACTCTGATAATTGAATACAACTCCAAAAGGCCTCAAACCAGTGATCTCAAAATAAGGTTCACAGAACTACACAATGATGAAACCTGAAGCAATAAAAACATGGCTAAACTCAAATGTAAACGTTCATACTATTGGGACACGACTGAAATTTCGTTTAATTTTATTGACTTGGAATTTTACTGGGTTGTCTCTGGACACTACTCTTTCATATATTAAATTGTGTCCCAAGGGTGTTAGAATAGAATCCAACAGTCTTGGAGAACCCAAAAAGTTCAGCACATGATTCGAATGTTCCGGGGTATTGCACTTCTGAATATGGGACTTCTCCATCTCGACCCCCTCCCACGTCCCCCGGAGGGAATGGAGGCGAACTTACATTTGAGGGCCCCTTTGAATGACTGGAGTTCGAAAAGTCTCAGTTCCTCAGCCTTTGTTCTTTTTATCCCCGGGGTTCGGAGGCCACCTGGCCCACGAGACACACCTGTCACTCTCAACCCTCATACCCGGCAGCCTTCGAGTCGCCGGCTCCAGGCTGTGGGAGTAGGAGATAGAGCGGACCTAAGCTGAGAGCCCGGAGCGCGGTTGCTCGCGGGAGGGGCGGGGAGACGCCGAGGGGCGGTGCCGGCGCGCGCGGGCGGGATGTGCGCGCCGCCGCCGCCGCCGCGTCACCAGCGTGCGGCACGTGCCGGTGTTTACGTCCCTCGTGGAGCCGCCGACGTCAGCAGCCGAATGGTAACATTGTGGCGATACTGAAGCTCAGAGTTTAGGGGACGCATCCATCCGTCAAGCGGCTCCGCGCGGTCGGGAAGAGGAGGAGGGGCGGGGAGATCGGCCGGGGCGAACGGCGGAGACTTACACACCGCCGGCCCCAATCGCCCACCGGCCTGCCGGGCCCCCGGGACCCGCGTATTACCTCCAGAGCTCCACAGACGCAGCACCGCGGCCTCGCGCGGGGGGCGGCTGGGGCGGGCGCGGGGCGCTGCCGCAGCGCGGGGCTTGTAAACAGATCCGGCCGCACGTGACCATGTGAACTACCTGCTGCAGGGACGCGTATTGTCTGTCCAGCAAGCCGCTCCACAAAGCAGCGCGGCGGGTCTGAATGCGGAGGGACGGGCGAGCAAGCGAGGAGAGCCGGCTGGGACGCTAAGATGGCTGAAGGCGCCCGGCGAGGGTGAGCGGGGGGCGCGGCGCAGCGAGCCAGTGAGCCCTCGGGCGGGTAGGACTAGCGTCGCCTCCCCCGCGGCCTGGCGCGGGAGCCACCATGTCGTTCGCACTGGAGGAGACGCTCGAATCGGACTGGGTGGCTGTGCGGCCCCATGTGTTCGACGAGCGCGAGAAACACAAGTTCGTCTTTATTGTGGCCTGGAACGAGATTGAGGGCAAGTTTGCCATAACCTGCCACAACCGGACGGCCCAGAGGCAGAGGAGCGGCTCCCGGGAGCAGGCGGGGACGCGAGGGGGCACCGAGTCTGGTACAGCCGCGTCCGACGGGACCCGCGGGCCAGGTAGCTCCGCGGGCAAGGGGCGGCCGGAGGCCACTGTTGCTGCGACTCTGGGGAGGAGCCCTGGACCCCGGAGGAGCCCGGCCTGGGCAGAAGGCGGCTCTCCGCGGAGCGCGCGCAGCCTTCGGGGGGACTCGCTGCCGCGGAGTTCACCCGGCAAAGGGTCGGAGAGCCCTCTCAGGAGCCCGGTGCGGGCCAAGTCCACCCCGGTCCGGAAGGGATCTGAAGGCAGAGATGTGGCGGGGGCCGCCGCTGCGGCAGCCCCGCCAGTGCCCAGGGAGGCCCCGGTGTCCTCGGTGCGGGTAGTGAGCGCCTGCGGGGCGGTCTCCGAGGAGATCGAGGTGCTGGAAATAGTGAGGGAGGACGAAGCGGCTCCGGTGTCCCTGGCACTCTCGGACGCGGAGCAGCAGCCACTCGCCACTGAGCTGGAGTCCGCGGCCGAGGAATGCAGCTGGGCCGGGCTCTTCTCCTTCCAGGATCTGCGTGCTGTGCACCAGCAGCTGTGCTCCGTGAACTCGCAGCTGGAGCCGTGCCTGCCCATCTTCCCCGAGGAGCCCTCGGGTATGTGGACCGTGCTGTTTGGGGGCGCCCCGGAGATGACCGAGCAGGAGATCGACACTCTGTGTTATCAGCTCCAGGTCTACCTGGGCCACGGCCTGGACACCTGCGGTTGGAAAATTCTCTCCCAGGTACTCTTCACTGAGACCGACGACCCTGAGGAGTATTACGAAAGCCTTAGTGAGCTGCGGCAGAAGGGCTACGAAGAAGTGCTTCAGCGGGCCCGGAAGCGCATCCAGGAGGTAAGTTTGGGCTTCAGTCATTTTCCTTACTCATTACCAAAGGCTGGAGCCTTGGTCTAGGTTGTGTACATTTGGGACGGTTTGTTTGTTTGTTTTCTAGACGAGGGAAAAGGCAGACGATGGGTTACTCTGACCTGTCTCCTTCATTCCTTTCAGTGGTAGGAAAACTGGCTTTCCTAAATTGGCCCTCTGAAGGACCTTTGATAAGTCTTTAGATACCACCCCCATTAATCATATTAGTTCTTTATAATAAGTGCTCTATTTACCTACTGCCACTAAGATTAAAGCCACTTTGAAAACAGGCGGCCTGTAAATGTAAGCGAAGTGAGCGTTTCTCTTTGCCCTTAAAGCTCTTTCTAGCAGTATGCCCAGGTAATAATCCTGGTGTCATTTCTTGGTGTCATGCTCATTTACTGAAAATAGATTGTTTTATGGAGCAAAGTTGGTCTGTTTTTACCTCCATATGTTGTTTGGCAACTTAGGCACATTTTACATTCGTTGTCCTCCAAATAAGAAGTCTGTCCAAATGAAAAAGCACCAAGTGACAATTGGATGCAAATGTATTCTTTTAAAGGTTTTATACACACTGTAGGACTATCTCAAGTCTTTACAGAGGATTCATGTTTCACTGTTTTAAGGAGAAAAAAAATTTCCTGGGCAGAAATGTTTAGTATATTTTTGTACTTAGTAGTGCAGTATACTGCAGTATGGGGAAAAGGTTGGAATAGGTGTACATTGGGAGCTCTACAGTGTGTAAGATATATATAATTTGAGGTCATGCCTACTTAACAGTTTCTGAAAGAACTTCACTGAAAAAGTATTTACCTAGTTTCCTCCAGTGGACACTAAAAGATACTTTTCTCAGAGCTATTTATTTTTAGTATCAGTACCAGTTGAGGTTGACTTGGGGTTATGAAATGACCCTTTTTGTGGTGTTTATATTTCTGACATTGTGTTATCTTCTTTGCTAGACTTGAGGATTTAGGAAATAACTCTTTCTCACCTTTTCCCACAGTGCTGTCTTACAACTTCCTGAATCGAGGTTTTCACTCCTTCCTATTAGTTTCTTTTATGCTAAACATCACCCACCTGTAACATGATCCCAGAGTTCCAGGGTTTTTATTTCTTTTGGTATCATCTTTCTGGAGTCTCTTCTACTTTATATTGTTTTTTAGAAGGAAGTGACAGAAATCTTAAATGGCCACATATATTCTCTTTAGAGTTTTGCAAATATTGACCTGTATTTAATTGAAATTGCAAAGACAAACTTAGTACTTATTTCTCTTACTCCATTTACAGATATATATTATACTGTTTAAAAATGACTGTATTTTTTAGTCCCTATGTCATATAAGCATGTCTGGTTTTAATTGTGTTGATACTCAGAAAAAGTAATTTTGTCTGTTTTTTTGAAAATTCAAATTGGGTAAAAAAAAATGAGAGCTGCCAAAAGTATAGTTAATTACCGTTTTCTAGAACTCTTTCATTGGGGTTGAGTTACAGTTTTAAAAAATATTTTTTACTAACTAAGATTATATTGACCATAATATTTTATTCTCTTTACCAGAGAAAATTTTTTAACTTTTAAAGAGGATTTGTGTTTTGGGAAACACCTTAAAATAAATAAAATTTATTATAAATTCATTAAATACACAAACTTTAGGTGCTTCATTTATTTGACTTGAACAGTGTTTAAAAAATAGCTGTCAAGGAAATAAACAGGTTCAGTTATTCTGCCCACCCTGATTTCTACTGGGAGGTTCTGTTGAAATTATGAGGCTCTGTGGAGGGAAAGAGTGGTGTGATTAATTAGTGATGTCTGCCATTGGCATGATAAGGGGAGGTAGTGTGTATAACACATCTGCCATGTATTTTTTTGTTGTTGTTCCCCAGCTGTTTAAATTCTTTGTTGTCTTAATAGGTTGCTGTAACTTTTTTTATTTTGGTAGGTAAAATCTTTATAGAGCATGCCATTTTTGTATTATTGATTTTATTGAGTTTGGTGATTACAGCTAATTCATTGTTTTTGTATTCTAATTTTCAAGTTGACCTAACTTGTGAAATTGGCTATAGTTTTTCAAGCTAGGTGTATTTGGTAAATCAAACACATTCTGTGATATAGGTTGCTTAGAAAATTTAGTAATTTGGTCATGTTTTTCCTTTAATTTCGATGAACCTATTTTCTGGTCTTTTTTTCCTACAGAATTTCTTTTCCTAGCCATTTAAAGACCACACCTGTTTTTATTCAAAATGGTCAGTAAGTTGTTAAAAGGATTTTTCTTTTCTTTTTTTTAATAGAACAGACTGTGCAAATAGATTGTAAACTTCTCAAGGTCACTAGCCTTGATAATATCTTGGAATTCTCTTCTTTGCCACCTCCTAGTTAGTTCATGGCCACACATCTTGTGAGCACTCTTAATACTGGTGGACAAAGGACACCAGAGTTTGTTTTAAATTGCTAGAATTTAAAGGGTTTGGAAGAAGTGTTCTTTTAATGTAAAGTTGTAGGTAAATACATTTTTATAAAATGATAAATGTAAATTACTCAAGGAACCATGGTATTGAAAAACGAGGAGAAAAATCTCTCAAAACTGCAAATGACTTTCTTAATAAGAGGTCTTTATCTGGTGTTGGTGATTCCCTATAAAATGAGGGGAACTATATATGGACTTTAATGGGCATGTAAACTTTTATATGCACTGGTGTGTTTGCATTTTTGGAGAAAAAGGCTTTTATCAAACTCTTAATGGTGTTTTTTCAAAAATAGCTTTAAAACCACAATTGTAAATTACTTGCTTTATGAATTAGCACCTTTATGAATTAGTCTGGTGTGCTTTGTAAACTCTATTGGAGTTTAATTTTTAAAATACACCTATTATTAAATATGGGTTATAAGAAGTACTCTTATGTCCTTGTCTTGTGAAGTACTGAAGAATTAAACCTTAAGTTTTTTCCTGAAAGTTTTTGTTAAATGATTCACAAATTTGGTCATCTGACTGGAAATAATAGTTTGGGAGAAGCTATAATTTATACAATACTGAGAACTTATCTTTAGATTACATAAGAATTGTATACTACTTAGATTCAATCTTGAATACAAATGAAATGTGAAATGTCTTGGACTTTTACAAGGAATTGCTGTAAGTAAAGCTATTTATATAGCAAGCACTCAATCTCTGAATGAATCAAATGCCACCAAGGTACCTTGGAATGGTTTCAGCAGGAGCCCTGGTTGTTGGTCAGAGCTGGGGATTATATTATAGTGTGTGTGTGTGTGTGTGTGTTGTGTGTGTGTGTGTGCATATGGGTGGCCCATACCTTGGCTTACCTTTGATGACTTAGGTTTTGTAAATAATGGTTTCTGTGTAAGGATAATTATTCTTGAAATTATTATTTGTGGTCCTTTAGATAATAAAACTTAATAACTATGATGGTAGGCTTTATTAAGATCTATAAATCATTGTTCACTTTGGAATTTATTATGTTTGTAAAACTGTCCTCAATTCTAACTTCTTTCCAGTTGAAACCACTGTTTGAGAGCAGCATGTGTTTTCAAAAGTAGCCATCCATGTAAGGCACACAGTAACCAGAGCCTACCTTGGAGGTTTGGAGTCAGAAAGACCTGAATTCAAATATGGACTTAACACTTCTGTGACCTGCTTAGTTATTTAAACTCTTAAAACAGGGAAATGGAAAAAATATCTTAAGATTTAATTAAAACAGTATGAAAAAGTGCCTGGCACTTATAAAGGAGACTTCCAAGAAGTGTTAATGGTCTCTCTTGTGTAATAAGGATTCTCCAGAGTTTTCAACTCAATTCTTCTTTCAGAGAATAAAACTAATTTATTGGCTCCTTAGGTACTCGGTACTTCATATTACCTATCTACTTACATCCTCCCTACTATCTTTTGAGCTAAGTGGTATGGGCTGTTTTGTTTTTACCTATTTTGCTGAAGCAGAAGTTGAAACTTAAAGATGTTACACATATTTGGTCCATGCTAAACAGCTTAGGAGTGACCAAACTCAGATTCAAACCTAGATTCATCTTACTCCAAATGTGTGCCTTTTCTGCCATGCTTAGTTTTCCTGAAGACATTAGAAGGGATACCAGTCTCCACTACTGAGAGTAGAAGAGTGTCAATATTTATAAATTGTAGTAAGTTCAATAATGACTTTTAACTTAAGATAACTCATTTGTTTTATTTCAAATTAATTATGATAGGCATGGTGTAGGGCAGAGTCTGCATGTTGTATTTTAGAAGGAGTTTGCCTAGGGGTGCAAGGATGGATTTATGTTAAGACAAGAGGGCCCAATCACTGTTTTCCTTTGTATCTATTTTTTTTTAATATGTTTTTTAAAATTACTAATTTTAGGGAGAGAGAGAAAGCAAATATCAATGGGCTGTCTCCTGCATGCCCCCTACTCGGGATCATGCCCAAAACCTAGGCATGTGCCCTGAGTAGGAATTGAAATGGTGACCCCTTGGTGCATGGGATGACACTCAACCAACTGAGCCACACCAGCCAGGGCTTCCTTTGTATCATAAAATGACTCAGCTATAAACAACTCCTGACTTCTGAGGTTATTTAAAAGAAGGAGCAAGGAGCTCTAAGAAGACTACTTAGCACTTCTCTTCCCAATTATGATTTTACTAAGTTTTCTGGAAAACTAAAACTAGTTAAAAAAACTCCGGAGACCTGCTGAAACCCCAACTATATACATTAGAGAAATGGCAGTCTTTTAGGAGCCCTAGGATGTGGTCTTTTATTGGACCAGTGAACCATGACCCATGATTAAGTAGGTACAAATAGTAAAAGCAGGCCAGGGAAGGACATAATGTAGTTACATTGGAGAGAGCTGTTCTGCCTGTATATTCCCATAAAAATAGTGCAAACTGCTGTCTTACTATAAAACACAGTTAAAGAATAATGAAGCCAAGTAAGTTTTGTGGGACTCTTGAGAGTTATGATAAAAGACCTAAAAGCTGGAAGCTGTTAGA